TTTTTAAATTAATATATTTTATTTTATATAAATTTAATTAATTAGGGGGATCGGAAATCGCAATTAAAATTTTAATTTTTTAAAAATATTCAAAAATATAGACCTAGTTGGTAGTCACCCTACTTTAAACCCTTGTCCTCCTGAGACGTCTATGAGAATGCCCCGGGAAATCTGACTCCAGCTGTGTTCAAGGTCACCCAGCTGTGTAAACAATGACTCATTGGTGTTAAATTTCGCAGAAAGGCGAGACAAAGGAACTTAAACTTTGCAGCTTTTTCTTCAAAATTAATGCATTTCTTTCGTTTTTTTTTCAGTTTTAAGTATTTTTTATGCTTAATTAAAAATTCCTGAAAAAGTGGCTGGGTCAAAAGGGGTTAATGCACCTTCTAGAGAGGGGTGTATAACCTCACTTAAACTGGCATGCAGGCTTTTGCCATATGGAAATATCCGATTTCCTGGTTTCCCCCGGATAGACTGGCTTACCAGTCATTCTGCAAAATTATGGTACAATATTGAAGATTCAGAAAAAAATTCTTTGAAATCTTCTAAACATCCATTCACAATTACTGGAACACAATTAACACTAGAAGAGTTGACCTTTCTTTATAGACTCTTCTCTGCCTATACTTATTCAAATTGATTAAAAGTTTCCATTGGATTAAACAATGTACATAAATATAATGGAGAAGAGCCTGTAAAGAAATGTTGACTCTACTAGTGTTAGTTGTGTCCCAGTGATTGTGAATAGATGTTTACAAGAATTCAAAGAACTTTTTTTTTGTATGAGTCATCAATACTGTATATTTTTACATTTTATATATAAAATGTATAAGCAATTGGAAATATTCTTCAAAAATCATGTTTATTTTCTATGATTTTCTAAATTTTTTAATTTGTATTAAAATTTTGTACATAAGATATTTATTTGAATGATAAATATTATTCTTAATTTATTCATTATTGTTGAATATTGCATATTTATTGTATATAAACTTTTACTCATTTATTAGAATATATTATAAACATTAGTCAATCATTCTAGTTAATGGCAATCTTTGGAATGTATTCATTAATTTTAGAATTTTTATATTAAATGTGAGATTAAAATAACTATAGTATACTATATACTTTTAGGAATTAAGTAAATTTTAATAAAAACATAGCCTAATTAATTAGATTAATATCTTATTTGTTTAATGTGTACTAAATACTATCAGATCACAACTAAATGAAAAGGGTTTATCACATCAGGATGAGAAGTAACCAGATTCAATTATTCAAATATGACTTTTTTATATTTGAATAATTGATTCTGGTTCCTTCTCATTCTGATGTGATAAACCCTTTTCATTTAGCCATAATCTGATAGGCTATTTGTTTAACTTGTATTTAACTTTGGGCTAGAAGTGTATTTAATTAATTTAGTCTAGTATTTAGTAACTAATTAATTAGGCTTGATGATTGCTGATATGTATATACAGGGGGTGTTTCAATAAGTAACACCTTTTATTTTTTTAAACAAACATTTTAATGTGTGTGCAAAAATGTAAATGTAGTAAATGAAGTTTGAATTTCTGGCAACACTATTGCACAATAGGAACACTTGTGCCACTTGTCAGACATTTCTGACAAATGGAAAGAAAATGGCGAGCATGCTATCATCGTTACACTCCCAACAGCAGTGAAGTGTTATTCGTTTTCTGTGGGCAGGGGGCAAGAAATGTGGACAAATTCATGTGGAAATGCAGGCAGTGTATGGTGACAATTGCATGGACTATTCAAACATCCGTTGATGGTGTGAGCTGTTTAAAAATGGTCGTCAATATGTGATTGATGAGCACAGGTCAGGTCATCTGGTAAGTGCAGCTTTACCTCAATTAGTCGTTGCTGTTGATTAAATGATTCAAAGCAACTGCCGCATTCTCTTGAAGATGCTGTCAGAAAAATTTGACATTTTGATTGGAATGGCTTATGACATTGTGCATGAGAAACTGGGATACAGAAAAATTTGCACACACTGGGTACCTAGACACCTAATAAAAGAGCACATGGCCACAAGAATGATGATGTCCTTCAGTCATTTGGAATGATATGCAGAGGAAGAAAACGACTTCATTCAAGGAATCATCATGGGAGACAAATCATGGGAACACCATTTCACCGCAGAGACGAAGAAAGCAAGCATGGTTTGGAAGCATTCAAGTTTCCCCCTCCCAAAAAATTCAAGGTGACACAGTGTGCAAAGAATGTCATGGTGACTGTGTTTTGGGACTACAGGGGTGTTCTATTGGTAGATTTTCTCCCTTATGGAAAAACTGTGAATTCTGACAGTTACTGCAAAACCCTGAAGTGCCTGTAATGAATGTCCATGACAAGAGACCACACTTGCAAGCACATGATATTTGACTTCTTCACGATAATGCCCACCCATATGCTTCGACAAAAGTCCATGACCTCATTGTATCCTTTGGATGGGAAAGTCTGCACTCCCCCATACAGTCCCGAACAATTTCCACTTGTTGGGTCCTTTGAATAAATTCCTGGCTGGAGAGAGCTTCCATTCTGACAAGGAGGATAAATCAGCTGTTTGTGGATGGTTGTATGGCCAGGAATTGGTGTTATACAATGCAGGCATCCTCAAGCTGGTACACCACTGGGACAAGTGCTTGAACTTGAATGGTTCCTATGTCAAGTAGCAGCCTTATCCACACATTTCATATCATATATTCTGTACTTTCCATATGCATTAAAACTTTTGCTTAAAAAAATAAAAGGCATTACTTATTGAAACCCCCTTGTATGTTATGCCAAATCTTGGAATGTTGCTAATTTAATGAAGTAGGCAAAAATTTGCATAATTCATGAAAAATAGTTGATATTCTGATTTCATAAAATTGACAATATTCATGCCAATTTCATGAAATTGGCATGAATAAGCTTTCATTTCATACCGATTGTGAGTTTGGCCAGGCCCACAAAGGGAGCAACCAGTTGATCAGGAATGGAGTCTGACACATTTGGGATGAACTGCCCATGAAAAACTTGGATTACTTCCCCTGATTTGATCCAGGGTCCACCAGAGTGGTAGTCTGACACCTCAACCACCTCAGTTATTTGGTCAACAAACTTAACATATTCTGGAGAGCTTTCATTTTGTTTTGCTTCTGTTTACCATAGTTTTAGAGCTTCTAATTTTAACGGTTAAAAGATCAGATGTAATAATCATTATTTAATTTAATGTTACAAATTCATCATTTTTTACATTAATATAAAATTAAAAGCTATAAAATAATCATTGATTAAAAACTACTAATATTGTAATTCTACTTCTCCCATCCTGCTGATGAAACTGGAACTAAACACAATGCCATTACCATTGTTATTATTTGCATACATTTTTTAAACTCTAAAATGTAGAGGTTTGTTTTATGTAAATAAACATCATAAGAAAGTATAAAATATCATTTAGTGTTGTCTTCTTACTTGAAGATTATTTAGATAGATCTTTGACTAATGTTTTCTAAACTGAAAACATGATCATTACAAATGTATTAGTATTATTTTGAAAGAAATTTCAATTTTCATAAATAACATAGTTATATTGTTGTTTGCTTTGTATCTAGTAGAATTCATTATCATTTTTGTGATTGGCTATTCTATCCAAATTTTTACTAGATTTGTCATAACCACTGACACATAAGACAATTCTTACTTCATGTAATATCCTTTATTTAAATCGACAAGAGGGATTAAAAGTCCGAAATGCATTTCAATTTAAATAAAGGATATTACCTGAAGTAAGAATTGTCTTCTGTGTTGACTGTTGTGACAAATCTAGTAAAAATTGGATAGAATAAACAATTACAAAAATAATAACATTGTTGTTATACCTTTTTATTGAAGTAGATTGAAATAAAGATCATTAACAAATTCTTATCAAATTATGTAACTTAGTACATAAGTTTGATTCTTTTGAATAACTATACATTTATTTAGAAGATATAAAAACTTACCTCTGGAATATTATAAATCCCTGCTATAATAAGTGAACATAGGAAATTTTCTCGTCCATCACTACGTGTTTCAAATAATGGAATCTAAAACAAATATTTCTTATAAACGAACCATATCATTTGCAACTTAATTTTAAATAAAACATTTAATTAAAAATTACCTGGGATCCTGTAATTACAACAGATTTTCCTAACTGTTCAAACATGAAAGAAAGAGCTGAAGCTGTATATGCCATTGTATCTGTACCATGAAGGATAACAAAGCCATCAAATAATTCATAAAATTCCTGACATTAAAAATATAATAAAGATAATTATTTTTACTTTGTGAGGAAAAAAGCTTATTATTATTTAATAAAATTGTTAAAATAAAATAAAAAATTTTATGAACTATTTTAGCATTACCAAAATAGAAACCAATTTCAATGTTAAAATGAAATGTTTGCTTTGTATAATTGATATTTTAATTATCAATTCATTGAATTATATTTTACTGACTGGTTTCATGCTCCTATCATGACTTTGTCTTCTATCATATTCTACTTCAACATATTTGCATTTTCTATAAATTCAAGATCAGTGGTAACTAATATTGGAGGTTACATTTAGAAATTATTTGTCAATAATTACATTAAACAAACTTTAACGAATCTTCCTGTCCAAAAAAAATGGAATGTGATTTGAATTCATTTCATTTCATTTTATCAAAAACAGAAAAACTTATTTTATGAATATTGCCATTAATTTTTAAAAAATTCACAATCTTACATAATTTTTTTATGTAAAAGTATGCAAATTGCAAATGTAATATTTATATTAAATTAAAATTTTTATTTGTAAAAGATACACTACAGATGTAAAGTACTGTACATTATACTCTAAAGAAAGCATGTGATCAAAATAATTATTTAAAACAATGGAGTCAGATGATTTATCCAATTCTTACTTAATTATATTGTAGAGAAATACACAAAAAATCAATTTTTTGTGTATTTCTCTACAATACAATTAAGTAAGAATTGGAAAGCATATGAGTTTTATTAGACACTGCATTTCAATAAAAAGCAATTCAGTCACACTAATGTTTATAAAGAAATTTAATTTGTTAACAGTTAACATTGTAAGATTATAATTAATGCTGGGCTAATTCAGATAACATAGTGGCTTTTTTATCACCTTTGTAAATGCTTATTAACAATATTTTGCTGGTTGCAATTTTATAATAATAAGTCAAACAATATTGCTGATAGAATTCATTTGTTTATACCAATACCAATCGTACCAATGCAAACAACAAAATATTTTAACATTATTTTGCAAATAATGCATAAATGGTACATTTTTAGATATATTAATTGAAAGTCATTTTAGGCAAATTTAACTAGATAAAAATATACATTTATAAAGATAACTTTGGGACTGGATAACATCATAGTGTATTGAGATACACAGACGAGTAAAAATAATTTTCTATATTTTATATAAAATATAATTATTTCAGTGAAATTATAAAAAATATTGCTGTCATCATCATTTTTATATTGATTTAATTTCATAAATAATAATAATATATTAATAAATATAGAAAATAACAGTAAATGATATATTATTATTTACTGTTATTTTCTATATTTTGTTTTATATTATTAAAAATACAAATACAATAGGCTCTTGACAAGTTGAACTTTCTTGACTCAAAATGCTTGCTAATTCAAATTTTATTTTTGTTCCAAATTAACTCCCACAGACTCAATGCAGTTTGTTCTTGTATAAGTTAAAGCAATTTTGAGATCATAGTTTGCTACCTCAAAACTTAATTTCTAGAGACTATTTCATGTCTAATTTTGCATGCTTTCTTTTGTGTTTTCAAGGGGATGAACATTATTATGACAAAGTTGAATATTGGTATTGTACAGAATTATGCCTCTGCACAACATAAAATTCAAAATTTTAATGCTTTGCACATAAACTAATGATCTTATAGTTAAACACAAACTTAAAAATGTAACTAAGATTTGATTGGTAAATTTTCAAATGCTAACACATTTATAATTTGACAACTTACTGAATTATTAACCAATCAAATTTATGAGTTTGTATATATGAATCTCCTTATTTGGAACTAAACATTCATTCTTTATAGTGAAATTTATACAACATGAATCACTTGTTGATATTTTTATAGCTGAAAATGACCAATTAATCAGCATATTGACCAGTTTCATTCTAAAGTAGTTCTCTTGCCAACAAGAGAAAATGAAAGATATTGTCAATTGAGTATGCTCTCGTTTTTCAGATATATAGAGAAAAAGGATTTTTGAAATCTTTAATGAACAACAGTATGAAACAACAAAAAAGTAAGTGTAAATGTGAATATCCAGATTCTGAAAAGTGAATGCAGAAGTCACTTATACAGTGTAGAAACAAGAATATTCATATCAATTTTACAGGAGAAACTGAACAATACAAATAACGATTGGAACATACCAGATTCAAAGCAAACAGTAGCTGGCTGGATGAATTTAAGAAGAAACATGGAATAGTGTTTAATAAAATCTGTAGTGAAAATCCAGGAGTGTGAAAAGAGAACTACATGCAGTGATTGTAAAGTTCAGAAATCAGAAATTATACAGAACTATAGCCTGGATGATATTTTCAATGCAGTCAAAAATGTGTTTATTTTTTAAATGTTGCAAACAGTGTTCAAAGGTAATTCATGTCACTAAGGACTATATCCGGGGTGGCCAAGCTCCTTGATAGTCCTAGCCATTTTTCAAAATTTGAAATTTTTCGCGAGCCGCAATTAAATACGTATTAAAAAGGTATGCAAAAATTCCAGATTACAAATTATATCCGTAGCAAGAGTGATACAAATTGTTTCCTCCAGAACACAATGTCAACTGTCCATTGCAATGACAATTTACAAATTCAAAATTGGTCTGGAGTCGGTCGATAACGGACGATTATGCCACTGTTTATGTTCGTTCGCGCAGTTTTCGATGAGTCATATCATTCTTAACTTGGACGGTAATGAAATTTGTTACAACGTTGCACTTAGTCTTTCATATTTGTTGTTAGTAATTTAAAAGACATTTTGAAACACATACAAATGATAATAATTTTTTAAAATATAATAACACAAAAATGAAAAGGGAACTCGGGTACATTTATCGAGAGCCACAAATAATCCTTCAAAGAGCCACATGTGGCTCGCGAGCCGCAGGTTGGCCACCCCTGGACTATATGATATGGTATTGGTATCACCAAAACTGCTGATACCAATACCATATCATATTTTCCTTCAATACAGAGTACTTTTTATACTCAATACTTTTCATCTTATACCGATACTGGTATTGATACTTTTGGTCTGATACTGATACTGGTATCAATATTGATACTTTACTTTGGGTATCGGATCTGGTATCATTACATTTTCCATGAACAGGTAAATTTCAGCTGACACCCGATTTTGCAGCCAAATCATTCCATTTCAGTTTCAAATCAGAAACTGAAATGGAATTTTAATAATTTTCAGTTAAGTTAAACTTATATAAAAAATATTAATGACCAAAATTTAATAAATGTATTAGGTCAAATTTAATTTCCAAAATCTATATACTGGTATGCTTAGAGTTCTGATTACTATTTATAAATAGATATTTAGTTAAACATTATGCAGTACTTTTGTTCGTTAATCAACCCGGACCATCAGTGATGTTTAAAATGAGCTACAGTTTGTATTTACTCGTTTACACTGACATTTATAAAATTTTAACACAATAAAGAACTTTCAATGTAAAGGCAGTTTTACCTCTTCACCAATAATTTCTTATCCACTCCTATTCCATGTATACTATAGTAGTATGCACAGAGACCATTAACATGACTGTGGATCTGGGGCTTCTTTTGTGTACATAAGATGTCATATGAGTGTAAACTGAAGTACTTACTGATGCACTGACTTCTGAACCAGACAACCAGAATTTAATTCCCTGGAGTAAGCAACAAAATATTATTTGCTGCTCTGGGGCTTACTCAGCATTCATTGTAATGAGTACAGTACACCTATCGCTCTTTTTACATGGTTCATCCTTATGCGATTTTGAAATAACTTGGTCAACAAAAGAAAACTAATCCAATTTTTACACAATTGATTTTTTTATATGGGAAAAAATAGTTTATTTGAAAATTTTTAAATTTAACTTTTTGTTAAAATTGATGAAATCAAGAGTTAATTTTCCTTTCTTAAGCACAGTATAGTACATAATAGAATGCTGTATGTTGATTTTATGTTTCCTACGCTACCTTGTGTTTACTATATTTACATACAAATGATGTTAAAATTTGTAAATTCTAAAAATAAATAAGATTATTTCCAGATTAAAAACAAGTAAAATTACTCTTTCTTATCCGACTTCGAGTGATTCAGTTAAGCAGACAAACAAATAATGAAGAAATACTAAACTTCAATTACCAATAACTCTATTTTCATTGAGTTCACAAAATCCAAATGCATTTCACTTACAGTAAAGCCTCATCAGTGATGTCTCCAAATTTTAAGATTATTACTGATCCCATTGTTTTAAATTTTATGAATATATTTACAAATAATGTTAATGATAAATGATGTTAGAATAAAAAAGCTCATGTTTCTTTTATAAATTGCTTATTTTTTTTTATTACATTGAAGTTGTGGATCCTATTAAGCATTTTTCTACAGGATGCATGTACTGTACAATTTTTATATGATTTTTTATATACAGCATTCTTTGAAACATATCCACTGAGCTAAAAAGAAGGATAGGTGTACCTTCCCAGCAGTAAAAACAACTGGAAGGTGACGTAACAAACTGAATAGTGACAGATGGCAAGATTTTCATTTTGTTACCTGATGCCAATACTGGCTGGTATGGATACCAATACCAGTATTGATACTTTAAAACTACTCATGATACTGGTATCGATACTTTCATTTTTACATTTTTGAATTATTATTCTTGTATTATTCCTGTATATTTACTTTACACATGTACAAATGGTATCGAGACATCCCTACATGTCACAGAGGTAAAAAATACAAACAATGTAACTCTTGGGAGCAAACATGAACATGACAGGTAATGAAAAACTGCCATCATTATTATGAAAAAAATCTTTAAAGCTTGATGTTTCTGCAATATCAAAACATTATACTTATACAATATACAGCAAATAAGAAAGCACAGATTTCAAAACTTTTTGTAACTGGCTGAAAAAGTTAGATATTTCTACAATCATGTTAACT